TTCCTGCTGTGAATTGTGCTAAAGAGTTCTTGACCCCAGCAACTTTCTCTGCCAAAGAACTCCAGTCAACTCACACATTATGCTTAACATGAATGATGCGTGCCCCCGGCGGCTGGGGGGGCACGGCGGCGCCAATGATGCTTTAAAAATATTTTCCGTTGCATTGTTCAAGTGCACCCGACTTCCCATATGATCCATGTCATTTGCAAACTTTAGAAGCAATTTTTTTTCTTAGATATTATTTATTCTGCTGTTCCTAGTAAGCTCAATGGATGAGTGCAGAAATAATGGCATTCTGGCAACACAGATAACCATGTAAATGAGACCCAGTTCACTGGGAGGCAAAAAGACTAGAGTTGGAGGGAGAAAAAACAAAACAAGGGGGAAAAAGGCTATTTTGATATTTTTAAAAAGATGTTCTATTCAAAATAAAAATCAAAAGATTTTGTGATTTAAGGAAAGAGGAAATATCTAAAAAAAATTAAACATTTCAGTCTGACATTGATCTTTTTCCATTTCTAATCTTTAAAATCATAGTAAGAAAAACTTGAAATGAAAAGTGATTTCTAAATGAAAAATTAAAGCATTTAAAAATGCTGGAAAGGCCATTTTAATATATTTGGGGGAATTTTAAGCATTTTTTCCCAAATGGAAAACATTCCATGAAATTAATGTATTTATTAAATGTCCAGTGTCCTTGAATCTGTACATTTTACTAAGCAATACAGCCCAGCAGCAGCTGACTTCTTTATCTGGACCTGTTTTAATTGCCTCCTGTTAAACACAGATGCCTGTAGGCAAGCAGGAGGGAAGGGCTTCATTTTTTTAGGTTCACACCATCCTGTCATTCAGTTAAAAGGTGAGAGATTTGCTAATAATGTGTGAAACTCCGCCACCATTAATGGATATTGAAAATGAGTGCACCATCACATATAACACAACACAACACATATTTTTTCTCCAGTTAAAGAGGAACTAGAAGCTTTACTGATATGCTTGGGTGAGGTGGGGGAAGTAGCTGTTATATTATTCGGTTTAAGATGAAAGGAAAAACAAATACAATTATTGGAATGTGGATTGATTTGATAAAGTATTTATTACATTTAAACAAGCACAACTAGCTAAGCAGCAAAAAGATTCAAAATAGCCAAAAGCTATGATGTCAGTATTCCCATGGTCATTATAGTTAAATGTATATCTCTTATTCAGATTCATACACCAAAATCTAGCCTTCCTGAGTATCTTGACAGTGCCCCCAATACTTCACTATCAGTCATTTCTACACCTGAGTTAAGGTTTTTCACTAGTCTGCACAGCTGTGAAATAGAAATGGGGCATTGCCAGGAATGGCCGACAGACACCACCGCTGCAGAAGAAAAGACATTCAGCATTTCCTGGGCCCAGCGCACAATTCAGCATGTATAATATCACACAGACGTGTTGTGTTTTAATTAAAGGAGACACCTTTACAATCACTCTTACTGATATAAGGTTTCCACCACACCTTAGACCCAGCTGCTATCCCTGGAGTCCGTTCTGGTGCCAGAGACTCTGGTGTTCATTTCATGTCACTAATAACAGAATCAGATCTTCCTCAGACTTCACCTTCTCCTTGGCATCTCAGCCCTAACAATGCTTGCCCTTAATTGAAGCCCTGTGATTTTCTTCAAACTTGATAACAGTAGATTCTAGCTTCTGAGCCAGGTGCTCGTTTTCCAGCATGTCCTCCTGATCTTCCTCTCCCACTAATCGCAACAGATGGCAATAAACTTTCCGCAAAATGAACCAGTACTTAGAGGCGTTCTTCCTGTAACACGCAAGCAGCTTCACCACAACCTGCAGGAAAGAAGTGTACATGTCCAGTTTGGCTGTCTGATATGCTGAAAGCTTTGGTTCTTGATCCTTGGTCTTGCTACATTCCTCCATTTTCATCCGGATTTCTCCTTCCTCCTTCTCATATGTGTAAACCTTCTGGTTGTACTCAAAAACCTTGTTTGTGTAGTGCTCAATGGCATTTTCCAACTCCTTCACTGTCTTGTAAGTCACATAGAGAGAGGCCTGGCAAATGGCAACCACCACACTTAGGGAGATGGAAGACTGGGTCTCATCTGTTATATGGAGGGCTTCACGCACAGCTTGCACTGAAACTGTTTCAAGACAGAAAATTAGGGTAGTGATTAAATCAAAATGTTGATGTGAAAACCTCAAGGCAGGTTTTGATCAAAAAGCCCAACTGCCCGATCAAAAAACCTGGGCACCTTTAATCCAAAAACCCAAGTGCTCCCAAAAAAGGAAGTGGAACATTTTTTATACCTCCCAAAAAAGGAAGTGGAACATTTTTTATACCTTCCTCAGAGGCACTGGGTGTTGGCTGCAGCCCAGGCTGAGGATTATGAAAGCTCCTGCTGGGACTTAAAGCTGGAGGGTCCTGTCTAGAAGGTCTTGCCCCTCCATTTAGGGTCAGACTGATTGCCATCTTTAGGGCTAGGAAGGAATTTTACCCCCTGGTCAGATTGGTATCAACTGTAGGTTATTTTGCCTTTCTCTATAGCAAGAGGCATGGCCCTCTCCCTGGAATCTCTTGAGTGTATATTAACAATCTTTTATAGAAGCAGGACATTGGCCACTGGTGGTCCCCCTTCTTTACCTGTGGCAGGTTCAACGGTTATGTCTTGTGTCGCATCAGTGTTGGCTAGTTCTACAAAGAGATTAGATTATGGATTTGTATTGGATGGTTTGGATAGGAATGATCCTGCCTCAGGCAGTGGGTTTGACTGAAGGACCTCTGGAGGTTGCCTATGACTCTATGATTTTATGATTTTAAAAAATGCAAACAGGAAAGAATGTGAAATTATGCCTGTGGGAATTGCAGTTCAGCTGATTCAAAATTTCACTCTTGTCTGTAGACCAGGTTGTTTTGCAGGACAAGAACTCCCATAATATATCACAGCCATGGACTCTGGGATGCCCCATGTGGCCTCACCAAGAGGAGGAGCACATGATGCATCAGGAAAGATGTTATCGAGTCCCAAGAGCCTGGAACAGAGGGGAGTGGAAGCCCCATGCACCTGGACTACAGTTCCCTGGAGACACCCGTACAGCAACTCTGGATGAGAGTATCATATTACTTTGCATATCACATTCCACCAAATAAGACACACACCTTGTTTTGGGGCAGGCAGAATGAAGAAAAAATATTTTTCCACTTAAGGTTGCATGAAGCTGGGACAGAGCCTAATCTTCAAATCACCCTCCCTTTCCTACTTAACCTAAAGCTGAATCCCTAGCTGCTGCTGAAAACTGCTGGTCTCCATGGGTGGACTTGTGATTCTGAAAAGAGCTAAGAAGAATCTTCACTTCCATGAAGAGAGAATAGGAGCAGACAGCAAAATTGCTGGAAGGAAGATTAGCTTGGTTAGTGAAACATCAAGATTGCAGGGTGAGTTATATACAAGAAATCTGGTAAAAGTAGTTCCCACGGGTTATCTCTAACCCAATAAATAATATAAAAGCAAAGGTAACATCTACACAAAACACACAGGGAGAGGAACAAAGAACAGGCTTGGCTTCCTCACTGCTGTTGCTAAGTTACTTAATACAAGAGAAGACTTATTTTCTTCATTCAAAAAGCAAGGTAGGTATCTTATTCTGGGGTGAATTATAGGTGAGAATATACAGTATTTCCCTCTGGGTGCCTTGCACAGGCAGTGTGCTACCAGACACATGAAAAAGGTCTGGCGTCCCCACCCCACACCACCTGAAGGAAAGGGGCAGCTTGAGTCAGTCCTTACCAATGAGGGTGTAAAGAGGTAGGATGACCATCACAATGTTCCTTATGATTTTCTGCCACTTTTCCTCCTTTTTTACTCTCTTCAGCTCCCCCTCCAGTTCATGCAGGTGCCTCTTTGCAGTATCCCTCATGCCTTGGGCAACCTGCTTCATCTGCCCGATGTATGTTAGGTCGAGATTAAACAACAAGAGGTTAATTTCTTTCTGCTTCTTTTCATTTCCCAGCTTCTCCCTCTGGACGAGGAGACTCTGGTTTTGGGAACTGGCTATATTCTGTTTGTCGTTGGCCAGCTCCTTTGCAGATCTGAGTGTCTCAAAAGCACAGTTCATGAGTTCAGGTATAGCTGCCTGAGTGTCCGACCCTCCATGCTGCAGACACTTGGCTACTGACACCAGGGGTTTCATTCCATCTGCAATCGCACATTCAAGGCATTTGTCTTGTGGGTCACACTTTGCAGAATCCATGACTATCCTGTCTGTTTGAGGGAGAAGACTTCCCCTACCATAACCAGTAGGAGCAAGAGGAATGGTCTCCTCACTCAGGGTTCTGAGATCTCTCTCCTGATGCATCGTGCTGCAGAGACGGTGTTTCCACAGGGAAGGCTGGATTTCTCTGCAGAAAAGAATTGCAAAGGCAATTCACTCATTACAGTCTTCATGCCCTTCCTGTGCTTGAGAATTCAAATGCCCCAAAGCTCTGGTCAGTAAACCAGCGAATGCAGAGCGTAGGTGTGATTTTGGTGGGAGTTATGCCTGTCCCTTGCCTCTGAAAGCCGGCCCCTGGAGCCACTACTTCAGCTAATGTGAATCAGTGCAATGCTCCCTCCCACTCCCCACTCCCCTCTCGAAAAAAAACGGGAATCCACACTTGGACCTCCGTTCCTTCAGGGTAAATCCAGAGTGATCCAATGGAGTCATTCCTGGTTCTAATCTGAGCTACCTAAGCATAAACCCTGGGCAGCCCCCTCCCGACTTGGGCATGCCTGCTGTATCATAATGGAGATGAGGATTTAGCCCCTGGGATCTGTCTGCTGACTGCCTGGCCACTGCCCTGGCTGCCGTCCTGCTCCAGAACAAAGTGGTTGGAGCCCAGTGTAAACGCAGCCCGCCCCTGCCACTGCAGATCAAACACATAGATTCATGCAGCCCACAGTCCACCCCAGCACCTCCCCGGACTGCAGCAATGGAGTCAGTTTGCTCAGCAACGCCCAACACCCCAGCACCAAAGCAGATCCACGGGCTCTGTCTTTTGGGCTCTCCTGGGCCCCAGCCCAGCTCTGCACAGCACCCCTGTGGATCCATCTTCTCCTGAGCTACTAAAAGAGTTGTGAAATAATCCCACTCCCCCCCAGCTTACTTTTCTGTCTGCTTGGATCCTCTTCCCCTTGGTGACTGAACCTTGTTCTGACGTTAGGGCAGGGTTTATACTGGGCTTTGTTGAGCAAAGACTCTGCCTATTGGTGTGCTGGTGCCTCAGCGTAACATCAGACGAATCATAAGACTCCACGGTCCCATGATCTCCGAACATGGTAAACTTCTCTGCTTTCTCACCCAGAACCTGGACACGCACCCTCAGCATGCCTGGATGGCTTCCAGCTGGACAGATATCATCCTGTCTTCTTGAATCCAACTGGGAATGAGTTTCTCCACTGAAGACCCCTCGGGAGTCCTATCCCCTGAGTCCTTTTTCAGTGTCGCTTGTGCCAGTGACAAAACGAGACTTCCTCACAGCTCATTCTCTCAGCAACCCTTCACTTGCCATAAAGCTCTTATGTTTCCAGTATGAGCAGCTGGAGTTATCCTGGGATTATACCCAGGCCAGGGCTCCATATTGCATGGAACCATCCATCTCTGTTTTCAGAGCTAGCATTCTTGTTCTGGGTCTGTAGCTTTCCCAAGGCAGCTAGCTGAACTAACACAATGAATAATAGAGCTGCTGAATGGCTAATTTTGCTCCCGCCCTTTTCCCCCCGCATACGGTCATATGCTGTTGACCTACCCAATCCCTTTCTGAAAGGGGAGGAAAAGAAAGAAGGAAACATCTTCCAATCCACTGTTCCGTAAACAGCGAGAATGGGGAAGTTCCCTAGAATGCATGAATTGTTTGCATCCTCCCAATACATATTTATTTCCAATCCTGGGTGGGTCCTGAGAATGAAATATTTTGGAGAGGTTTTCCTCTGCTTTTCATCCCCAGATTTGATCACTGTTGGCGATATTTTTGGTCCTAATCAAGGTGTTCAGATCAAATAGGTTTCTCATGAAATGCAGTTTGTCTCATATGAACTGTTTTCAGTTGGACACGTCATCTTTGAGTAGCAAATATCTGTTTTGAGGGTGTGGAACAGGTCAATTTTGGGTGGGAAATATTAACAGACCCTGCCCTGGCTAATGACATCAGTCTACATCCATGTGTCCCATTTCTGACCCTCCCTGGTTCATGGTTTTACCCAGGTGACTGCCTACCTCATGGGCCCTTACAGATTTGGGCCTTCTGCCCCACCTGCTCCCAGTCTCCTGCTTTATTGGACCTCTTGCTTCCCTGTTCTTGTGTGATTTTGATCTTCTCAGTTGTGAAAAAGTCCAGCCCCAACTCTCTATGGCCTTGTTGTGCCTCTAACAACTGCATTATCGGTGGCACAGAGGCCCATCTTCACCAAGGAGAAGTAGGCAATGCCCTCGCATAGCCTGCTGGGTGGAAAATCTCCTGGAAAGGGAGGAGATGTGAGTTTGAACTCCATCAGGCCAAAGAGGGCCAAGAAATCAGGCATCCTGCTCCCTGGGCAAGTTCTTGAATCACAAGACTGTTATGCTAAAGGTAGATGCCGCTATGACCACCTTTATGAGTGACAGTAGCAGCTATTTTTTGTACAGTTCATAATAATATTAATATACGTAAGAACTTCTCTGAGGGTTTCTAATATGTCAGGGATGTAGATAGGCTTACACTCCCCACCTCCCATCTGGATTGCAGTTGGGTTTATGTGGCAGCTGGGTCTCTAGCTACTCAGACTGGGGGAGAGGGGGGCTGGGCTCTTGCGTGGCATATTTTCAACCAGAGCACAGTAGATCTAGATTGCATTTTGCAAGACAAGCACCTGGATTCTCATCTGGTCTGTCAGGGCGTGTATAGATGACACGGGCATTAATGTAGAGTGCCTGAAAATTTTAATGTGGCTTTCTTTTGGTGCAGTGCATTTTTGTTTGCACATTTCCATCAGGTGTAGTTAAGAGTGAAGTACTACCAGACGCATCAGACTCTCTCAGTATGGAAGGGCTGTTCACACTGTCAGGATACCATCAGCGAAACAATATTACCACTACCATGAATAGATCTGGAATTTTTAGAAGGAGGGTACAGATGGTGAGGTGCATTGACACACATAAAAACAAGACATATTTTTCTCCAGTTAAAAATACACTAGCAGTTTCACTAAAATGCTGAGGGCCTAAGGCTATACTATTCAGTCTGAGATTAAAACAAAACTAAATATAACTTCTTTGGATTCAGTTAAAAACAGTCTGCAGGGCTGTGAAACAGGAGCTCCATTGAAGGGAGCAGCTAATAGATGGCAAAACAGCAGAATAAAGGCTAGCTTGATTGGTGGAACATCAAGCCATTCAAAACCATTCAAAAGAAGAGAATGTCATTAACACCTGTGAAATGAAGAGGTTACAAGGATTCAGGGGGATTACAATGAGCCGTGAAGTCAGTTGATTCCCTCAGCAGTAAAAATCTTGCTCCTCCAAAGGCAGTTGGTTTTAAATTTTGGGTGCGGCAGGCATCAAATTGAGGGGAGCATTTGCACCAGTGTGATAGCTGTGAAACTTAGCTGGACCTACATATGAAATTTAAATCACCAATTTATAATAACAGTTGCATCTTGCACAAGAACGTGAGATCGACTGGGGCCGTTTGAAATGAAACAATCACAGCTGATCCCATCTCTTGTGCTGGTTTTGGATACACCCAATGTTTACCCATGCTAACTGCCCCTCCCTAGGTGATTGTCTGTTCTTTATTGACATGTCTTTCTCTGATCAATACATATTTTTCAAAGCAGACAAGAATGTCTGTTTGGGATTTTGATCTGTCTCCAGACAAGGAAATCAGCCCATCAAACCAACATCCTACTTACAGGATATGCATCCTGATTCTTATCAGCCACTAAATATGTTTTCTGGCCTCTAGGTTTCATCAGAAATTGCAACTCTTCCCACCAAATAGGTGGACCTGTGTACCAGGTCACTCTGAGCTTTGCTTTGGTGTCTTATAGGGGTGGATGCAGGGGGCTGGGGGCAGTGGTAGTTACACCCTCCTTGGATTTCTCTTGTACCCATATTTTAAAACCAACTGCCTGGCAATGGCAGCAGCATTTCTATTCAGGCAGAAGAGAGGGAGTCAACTGAGTTCCTGGCTCATCATAATACACCTGATTCCTTCTAAACTCTCCATTCCCCAGGTGTTAACAACTCGCTCTCCTTTTTAATGGCCTTCCCTGGTTCCACTAATCAAGATAGCCTTTCCTCTGCAATTCTACTGTCTGTTAGCTGCTCCTGGTAACCTAGCTCCTATTTCACAGCCCTGCATACTGCTTTTAACTATATAGAACTATCTAGAACCATTACCTCTGGTGTGGAAATAATGTTCAGTGCCCTGTCCAGATGCTCAAGAAGGCTAGACAATGTTTTATAAATCTGAAAGAGGTGGATATCTAATTTTGAGGGCTACAGGACTAATGACATGACTTTTGATTATTTTTGCCAAGTTTGTTGTGTTTTTATACATACTATGTGACATGGCATATTCCTCTAAAGCTATATTTGTTTCTGACTGGATCTTAAATTGACTAATATAGCCCCAGGCCCATAGCCTATTATTGAAGTTTCTAGTTTATTTTTACTGGAGATAAAGATGTGTTGTGTTAAATGTCGTGATGCACCTCACCAACTGCACCCCACTTTTCAAAATCATCCATCTGCTCATTGTGCCCATCTGATCCATTATTTTCAATATGTTGTACTTCTGAGGTGCCCGAAAGCTAATACACACGGTATTTCCACTGGGATTCAGTCCCCTTCCAGGAGTGGACAGGCTCCTAGACAACCCAAGGTGAGCTGTGCTCCTGATGGCTGTGGGAGACATAGCACTGATACAAGACTAGTCTATGAATCTATGAATAAGACACAGCACTGATACTAAACACTAGTTATCTGCCACTGCTGCCTGCAGAGCCCTGTTCTTCCCTAGCTGCACTCATTCTCTGGCCAGCTGTGTTGGCTTTACCAGGACTAAAACGCCAGCCGGATGGAACAGCACAAGGAGAATTAATTTCCACTGCCTTCTTGCACAAGCTCCAAATGGAGTCGGACAGTCAGAGGCCTGGGCCTCTGACAGCAATTCCTCTCTTGAGCCCTTGTCCACAGAGTCCCCTCTTGGTGGAAACACAGCTCACGTGGCTGGGATCCGGTTCACTGTTGCCACCAGCATGATCTGAAGTGACACCAGCCCCCATGTCAGCTTGTCTTCTGCACTTTGTGCTGCTATATAGTTTTTGACCCAGCACTGGTCCACAATACATGTGGGTGAGATCCAGACAGCCACGTCAGGCCACTCCATCTACAGCATCCCAGCACCTGGCTCCAGGAAGAGGCTTCAGAAAACCAGAAGCAAGCATTATAGCTCCAGGCCAAGGTGGTGCCACAGAGTTATTCAGCACCTGAAAAAGGAGTTACTTGGAGAGCTCCAATCCTAAACCTGGGGATTGTCTGAACAAACACCTTCCCCTTGGGAGGAGCCTCTCTTCACTCTGCATCCAGAACACCGTGCTGTTTCCTCAAGGTGAGCGTTATTTAATATCTTCAGTAAGGATTGGGATAATGGGATTCAGTGCACACTTAGCAAATTGGCAAAGTGCACCAAGTTCGCTGGAATTGCAGGTACTCAGGAAAGTCAGACTAGGATCCAAAATAATCAGAATAGATACATGGAGAGTAGGCCTAGGATCCAGAATAACCTGGATAGGCTGAAGAAATGGTCTGCAATCAATCAGATGAGACACGACAAGGACAAGGGCAAAGTCCTGAACTTGGGACAGAATAATTGCATGCCAAATACAGCCTCGGAAATGACTGACTGGGCTGCAGTGCTGGAGGGAAGGACTGCCTAGGAGCTGAATAGGAGACAACAGTATGCTCTTGTTGCAAGAAGCACCAGCACAGAGGCTGCTTTTGCCTGTGTGTCTGCACAGTGCCCAGCACAATGGGGCTTTCATAGCAGCTGGGGCAGCGCCCGTCTCTGCCCAGGTGTCTACACAAAGGTCCTTTGATTGAAGCTGGAAGTCCTGGGGGCGCCCATAGAAGTAACCACAACCACAGCCCCCTGAGTGGCAGGGAGGAAGGAGCTGGGTGACGCCTCTGGGGAGGGGGGGTCTGCACATGACCAGATATCTGGGATGTGGGACGTGTGAGAAGGGCATGGAAATGGATATCCAGGCCAGTGTCGTGGACAAGTGCAGGGAAGGACCTGGGGCCAGGCCAGGCCAGGCCATTCCCCATAAGCAGCCATATTGAAGGGCCACCCAGGCCTTAGTTTGAAGGCAGCAGTGGCCAAACTGGGTTCTCATGTCCTCCTTCCTCACGACAGTCTGTCCATCCAGCTGTGCACTCATGCATCCTCATCTCCTGATCCCAGGATGGAAGCCTAAGCTGCTTTCCTGGCTTCCCCACATAGGCAGCAGAAGGCCAGGGATAATGGGACTTAGCCCCCACAAACTAATTTTGTGGCAGGCAGCAACAGCAGCAGCACCATGGCACCACCATCCCACAGCGCCCAGCGCCACTTGGCAT